GACATACAGTTTATCATCACACAGCCTATAACCGATAAACTGGGATTCACTTGGGAACAGAGTTAGTGAAGGGACGCTTACTCATTGATTCTTATTTTTTTCTTCTATGGGGGGTGTCTGTGTGTGAATGTGTCATGTGTTGGCACTCAAATTAATTTTTTGAAATGTTCCACCAACTAGCCCAACAACAAGTTCTTTTACAATACATTTCTAGTACAGTAGGCCTCTCTTGTTACCCGTTAGACCTTGCATCGTTAACTGATGGACTTGTACGCAACATCATTGAGCGTTAGTCGTGCTGCCGAGCCCACATTCAATTAGCACCACTGTGTATGACTGCTCTTGCATACTGTTTGACTTATTATTATTATTGTCCGGTGATGTTGAATTGAACCCCAGTCCTAATGACAGTGTAAACTCTGAGCTGCTTACCACGCTACGTCAGCTTCAGTCCGAGCAGTCAGCCATTCTAGACCAACTAAAATCTATTCAAGTAACCCTGGCTGATAATGAGAAAAGATTTCTCGAAATAACTTCTAGGTTGGCTAAAAGTGAATCTGAGTGCACCGAGTTTATGGCTGCCAAAACTGAAATTTCCACACTTCGTGCGGCAACTGACGTTTGCATAGCATATGTGCCTGCCCTGACTGCCCGAGCTGATGACACCGACAACAGGTTTTGTCAATGTAACCTTGTCTTTTATGGGTTAAAAGACACTCCTAATGAAAGCTGGCGTGACTCCAAAAAACTAATCATTGATCACTGCATTCAGCATCTTCAGTCCACCATTGATCCGCGTGAAATTGAACGTGCTCATAGACTCGGATCATATCGTAACGGCAGGTCAAGACCAGTTATTGTTAAGTTCACACATTTCAAAGACAAAGATCGCATTCTTTCATTAGCGCACTAACTTAAAGAATCAAGTTTTGGCCTTTCTGAAGATTTTCCCCCTGCAACTCGACTAGCTCGTAAACGCCTTATTGAATATGCAAAGACTAGCAAATATAGAAAGACTAACAACCTCCAGCTCCAGCTGGGTTACGATAAACTTCTCTGGCGGCAAAACCTTCGTCTACGACCAGCAGGCCAACAAGATAGTCGAGCGCGAATCCTAGCAGTTACCCCAGTCTAAACCTCAAACACCGCAATGCAATCGTTCATCCATATCGTTCTTGCATACTAATATCTGTAGTGTAATTCCAAAACATGACTCGTTATGTGGCCTCATCAGCTCATCTTCGTGTAATGTTGTTTCGCTTACTGAGACATGGCTTAACACATCCATTCGCGATTCCGAGATCCTGCCCCTCTTTCCAGACTTCGATATATTTCGCAAAGATAGGGTCGACAATACCCGCGGTAGTGGCGTACTTGTCGCCACAAGCCATGAACTACGATGCATCCCGATATTAATTCAATCACCTCTTGAAATGCTACAGATATGTTGCACTGCATCCTTCCCACGCATCCTTCTTGGCATTTGCTATCGCCCTCCTTTTTCCGATGCCGCATTCTTGCCCGCTTTCCACGATGCGTTAGGCCAGATAACTAAGTCGTATCCTGACACGCCTGTCTTGCTTTTTGGTGATTTTAATTTCCCATCTATCACTTGGTCAAATCTTGCTTCCACACTATCAAAAAGTAACATGGCCAGTGAATTCGTCAACACGTGTCTTACATTTGGGTTATCGCAAGTTGTCAACAATCCCACTTGCACTACTGACCATTCGGATAACATTTTAGACTTAATATTAACTTCACACCCTGAAAACGTTTCCGATTTAGCGTACCTGAATGGTCTCAGTGATCAAAAGATACTGCATGCTACTTTTTCATGTCACATGTCCAATCCAATAAGAATTAAAAAAAAACACTCACGCTTTATGACAGGGGCGACTACAACAGCATGTCCCAAGATTTAACACCCTTTTATAATAACTTTAAGGCGGACTTTCACCACCCTTCACTTGAAACTAACAGGTTGCTGTTTAAATCTGAATTTCTGCGCCTAGTTAAAAGGTAGGTTCACACCATAACAATCAGTAGACGGAAACAATCTCTGTGTTTTAACACAACACTAAAACGTCTGAACAATAAAAAGAAACGTCTCTTTCGTTCTGCTAACTCCTCTCAATCTGACTTTCAGTGGCAGAAATACCACGCTGCGGTCAAGCAGTATAAGAAGCACGTCGCAGAGCCAAACGCAGCTTTTTTTCAACCACGCTGCCCTCCATGTTGCACACTAACCCGAAACGCTTCTGGCAATGCATTAATTCCCAGGTGTCAAGCAGTGTTTTTCTCCGTGACAGTGCTGGCTGCCCTGTTCCGGAATCTGAGACTGCTGATGCTCTGAACACTGCTTTCTGTTCTGTGTTCACTAATGCATGCCCTGAAATTCCTCATTTGCCACCGTCTAATTACCCCCCCACGGAAAACATCACTTTGGATGCGAACGGCATTGTTACAATTATCGAGTCATTAAAAAATTCATCCTCTTGTGGCATCGATGGCATAAACACTAAGGAAGCACATCACCAGTCTCTTCCTAAGGTTAATATTCCAGCAATCCCTCTGCACTGGATCTATCCTTTCTGACTGGAAAGTTGGTAAGATAATTCCCATTTTTAAAAAGGGCAACTGTACAAATTCTAGCAACTACTGTCCCATTTCCCTTACCAGCATTTGTTCTAAACTAATGGAGCACATTCTACATTCACACATTGCCAATTTTCTGTCATCTGTCAACTTCTTTCATCCTAACCAGCACGGCTTTCGCAAAACTCACTCTTGCAATACTCAGCTCGTATTATTCCTCCATGATGTACATTCTAACCTGGATCTGAACATCGCCACCGACGCTCTTTTTTTGAACTTCGAAAAAGCCTTCGATAAAGTATCGCACTATCTTCTCATGCATAAAGTTTTGCACCTAAACCTACACCCCGACACAGGTAATTGGATACGTGAATTCTTGGCCGGTCACCTTCAGTTTGTTTCCACCAACTCATTTTCCTCATCTCTATCCCCTGTTTTATCTGGTGTGCCGCAAGGTTTCGTACTTGGACCGCTACTCTTTCTCATATATATTAATGACCTTCCTGTTAATGTATCGTCTAATATACGCCTTTCTGCAGATGACTGTCTTCTGTGTCGTCCAATAACAAAGTCCTTTGACTCTTCCTCTCTCCAGGATGAGCTCCTTAAAATCCAGGCGTGGTGCAACCAATGGTACATGTCCCTCAACGTCAGTAAATGCTCCCACGTGTCCTTTCATCGTCACCGTAACTATGTAGCTCCTTCTTACTCTCTCAACAACACATTAACCCAATGCAAGACATTTAAATACCTAGGAGTACATATATCTAGTGAGCTGTCCTGGGCATATCATATTCTCCAACTAACTAATTCCTGCAATCGCCTATTAGGTTATCTACACCGTAACCTATCATCAACATCCCCTGCAGTCAAAGCTGTCCTGGGCATATCATATTCTCCAACTAACTAATTCCTGCATTCGCCTATTAGGTTATCTACACCGTAACCTATCATCAACATCCCCTGCAGTCAAACTACTTGCATATAAAACGTTGATTCGATCCAAAGTAGAATATGCCTCTGCTATTTATGACAATCACGAAGTTGATATAAACAATTCCCTCGAATCAGTCCAGCACCGTGCTACCAGGTTCATTCTTTCCGATTACTCTTATAGGTCAAGTGTATCCGCCCTGAAATCCCAGCTCTGCCTCCCCTCATTTCTCGTCGCAAGACTGCTCGTCTAATATTATTTTTAAGTTTTTCCATTCGCTGCCTCCAGGAAACCAAATCATCATTCCTGCATTCCTGCACATCGTTCCTCTCGCCACTCGCACCAGAAAGCTGTGTATCTACCACGTGCACATACGGCCACCTACCAACGTTCATTTTTCCTGCATACTGCCAGAAAATGGAATGCCCTTCCATTCAATATCGCCCTCATAACCAACATTGCTCAATTCAAAGCTGCCATTGAAGACCAACTTTCAAGTCATGAAACCCACCCTGACCTGCCAGTTTTTTCGTTCGCCCACCCCTCATGTAATGTCCCATGTGGGACCTTTGAGGTATTATGAATAAATGAATAAATAAATCATCGAGGCCACGTGCCAAGCTAGAAATTGTGCCTTCTGCATATGGAAGGGCATCCCCCCTGAAGAAGTTTGTGTCTTATTCGAAGGTGTTCAACCGTCCTGGAAGGACACGTCAAAAGCACCTGCAAGATTCTCAAGGCGGAACTATGGCATCAGGTGCATTTGTTTCACGACTGGCTCCGCATGGTCCACTACAGTCTGTGGGGGTGCTGACACCCCCTGTAAAGTTGTTTGCACTGGGTGGCGCACCTCTCTCGCCAGAAAGCTGCAATTTAGGTTACGACCACTGGGCGGTAGGTGGCGTTGTGTTCGCGTTGATCACCACTATCATCATGGTAGCGCCGGCAGTGAGCCCTGGCAAAAGACAAGCCTTGGTGGCAAGCGAGAGTTGAGCGAGTCTTTTGGTGAGTGGCAGTTGCCGCAAACGGTTGTCTCTAGCGTGGGTCCCCAGTGCGTGGCACCGCGGGCTACGCGTCGGGGGCCCTCGTGGTGAGTCAAGCGTTGGCGACGCCGCCTTGGGTGTGTTATTGTGTGTTTGTCGTGTTTTGTGTTTGTCATGGAGTGTATGGTAATATTGTGTACGGATGTCCTATGTTGAATTCCAATGGCGGAGTCGGAGCAAGTTTTTCTGCTCCTTTCAGAGCAAGTGTGTTCCAATGACAGAGTGAGAGCGAGAGTCAAATGTTCCAATGAGAGAGCCGGAGTGGATTCAGAGCGGGAGTCCCTCCGTGGAGCAGGAAAAACTGCTCCGCCGAAATCGGTGGAGTGGACCGGAACTCAGCGTGACGCATTTCCTTTAACACGTTTGCCTGCTTGGGGGCGCGGCTGGCGCGGCGCGAGTTGTGTTGATAATGGCGGACGGCATGGACGGCTCGGCTACCTCGGCAAAGCGCGCGGCAATGCTTCTGCTACTCGATAGCGACAGCTCTGAGTCGGAAAGCTCAAGTACTGACACGAGTGATTCGTCGGACAGCGACAGCGACGCTAAAGCTTGCGCTTACGAGCGGGAATTTAACAAGTTGTTCCGCATTCCCGCGAAGAGGCCCAAAGTCGTCAGCTTCATCGAGGACGTCGTTCGGCAGTACTCGGACCACGAGGTAAAGAAATAGAAAAAAAGAAGGAAAGTATTATGCTCAAGGTTTAACACGTTGTCGTGTTTTCGTTTGTTTCTTTTCTTGAGCAGTTCCGGAGGCACTTTAGGCTGGCTCGACCTGTGGCCGAAAAGTTGGTCGCGGAGTTTGCTGTCTCGACAATGTGCCCTTCGAGCACACACGGAGGAGTTCAAGCGAAATCCGCGGAAACGCATGTCTTGACATTTATCTGGTTAGTTACACCTCCCCACCTTCACCCCCCCCCCTTTCTTTTTCTTTGTACGATGCCTGCACAAGAACGCATTTGACTATGAGCCTGTTGCTTACAGTGCAGTGTGATCTGAAGCTGTTTTTTTTTTTTTTTCTTTCGGGTACCTGTAATCCCCCTGCGCAGGTACGCGGCCAACAAAACCTGCATGCGAGACGTGGCAAGCCGTTTCGACATGTCAGAAAGCACCGTGTACAGAGTTCTTCAGAGAGTAGCACAGTTCCTGATGACGCTGGGACCATCGGTGATCAAGTTTCCCGCAGACTTGGAGAACCTCACTAGCAGTTTTGAGAAGGTTTGCTTTGATTTTATTTATTGTGAGGACCAATAATATTGGCCGGCCAAGCTATGTTGATCATATCACAAACACGAGTGCACATTTTATTGTGGGTTATTTCAAGCTCAATTTTACGCTGAGGTGGGACTTTAAGAAAAATGTGATAGGTCGTGATGATAATACCGAGCTTCATCCAGTTGTGTTCGAAACATTCAACTTATGTCTCTCCTGCAGTCACAGTCGATTCCTTGCATGCGGATGATGCTGCATGCTTTGTCATTTCTGTTCAGATGTACGATACAATATGGATGAGGTTTGGTTTTAAATTTAAGAATTAAATTGCAATTACGTACTTCAACTCCCTTTAGGAAAAAACATATGCAGGCTTTGTTTTGTTTTCTCTCCCATTTTACCATTGTAAAAAGAGAGGTGGATAGCAAGAAAACGTGTAGTATATGGTGTGGACAGCAATGTATGTTATCTTAAATAGTTCTTAAAGTTGAATTTTGGTTTGCATTTTGAATCTTTACCATAAAATATATTGTGCTGAGTCATGAAGCGTATGCTGTGATTGTGAGTTAATGGGCTTGATCACCAGTATTTCCTGTTAAAACTCCTCGCAAATGCTCATTTCTTGCTCAGGCATGGATGATATCACTCATTAGAAGAGTACAACTTGCTTGCAGGTGTCTGGAATGCCTGCTGTTATTGGCTGTATAGATGGATCGTATGTCAAGATACAGTGCCCAGCCAACAAGGTTGCCTCCACATACTGCAACAGGCACCATTACCTTTCACTAACGCTGCAAGCCGTCTGTGACCACAAGAGGCGCTTCCTCGATGCGTTCACTGGAACCTCCAGCAAAATGCATGATTCTCATGTGTTTAGCTTATCGCCTCTTTCAAAGAACATAGCTTCAGTATGTCAGGGCCGTTATCATATATTAGGGGACGCAGCATATCCGCTGCGGGAGTACCTGTTGACACCATACAGGGATTACGGTGCAATGAATAAGCAACAAAAAAGCTTCAATTTTAAGTTTTCAGGCACACGAGTGCTCATTGAAAATGCATTCAGCACACTCAAGAAGCGCTTCAGGCAGCTCATGTACCTGGAGTTGCACACTATCCACTGGCTCAATAAGTTTATTATAAGCTGCTGTATCCTTCATAACTTGTGCATCGATTACGGTGATGAAGAGCCAGATGATGATAATGATGATGATGGAGCACCCAATGCTATTCAGTGGGAGAACTGCACAGATAACCACAGTGATAAAACTGATGAGGAGCGAGCTTTGCACAAGCTTGGCGAAATTAAGCGTGCAAAGGTATTGACCAAGCTCCTGCAAAGTGATTGTGGGAAATAACACCATAATTCTCTGTTTTGTCTGAACTGGCCCTTTAGTTCCCCACAGTAGTTTGGAGGCTGTGTGTGTGCACCAATGCGCAGCCCCCTTTATATACACAAACACATGTTTTGCACTGCACATTTTATTTCAACTAGCTAATAGTATTTTAGTCCACTGAAATTATTCATTGTCTAGGCCAAGAAATCGGCTCAAAAGCTTCATTTTTTCTTCGTGTTGTTTTGCTTTTTCTTGCCGAATGCGCTCCTTCTGCTCTTGCCTCTCTTGATGACGCTTCCTTCTTTCATTCTCGCGTTCAGTGTTTTTTTTCTTTTTCTTCCTGAATTTTCCTCATTTCATCAAAGAAGTGATTCATTTCCAGTAATCTAGAAGCCGAGGGTTTCGGCTTTTTGGGCTCAGGCTCCTTCGTTGTGCTGGTAGACTCCTGGCTAGTTGAACCTTGGCTTGTCAGCTCCTGGCTCCCTGATGCTTGGCTCGTCGACGCTTGTCTGGGTGGTCTTTTTATGGAGACTATTCCAGAGCTGTCCCTGAGCTCTTCTGGCTGAAGGCTGTCATCTAGCCAGCGTATTTTGGCAATGTCATCTTCAAAAGGAACGTCGCAAGGAGAATTCCCCGATTTGCTGTTATGTGCTGCAGCGCTTCTTTTTCGTCGCATGACTGTTTTGTAGCGGCTGCAGCACTGGTCACCTGTTTTAGGGACCCCGACAGCCTCTGTAATGTCGGCCGCTATTTTGGCAAACATTGCCTTTTTATTTTTAAATTTTTTCATCGGCCCTATTTGGGAAAAATACTGCTGGTAGTACTCGAGCAACAGCTTTGTTTCTCCCGCCGTCCACTCACAGCCTGTACCTGAAAAAAAAAGTGCTTGAGACATTTGTACAGACGTTACCAGTTGCACGTCACCCGACACAGTTGTTAGAGAGTTGTGGTATTCTGCTGTGTTGGTATTAATGTAGAGCTTATAGGCATATATAAGCACCAACCTGTTTTAGTTTGTCTTGATATCGATTTTTCTACTTTGATTTTTGTCGTTACAGTGCTTGGTGTTCTTTGCACTGATCTAACTGTATATATCATGTATAATTCATTACTTGAATGCATTTGTATCCTCTCCTGCTAGGGCCTCTAAATGGGCCTGCAGTTTTCTCTAAATAAATAAATAAATGGACTCACTGCGTTGCTCGCTCATTTGGCTGTGTTCTGGCACTGTGAATAGAAAAACCAAATGCATTGTTATTCATACAGCTGGTATACATGAAGCGACATAACGACCGATTTGTGTTCTGTGACACAAATTGCTGTACATTGAAGCACCATGTGAATTTCATGCAACTATGTATGCACTTAAGCTAAGCCATGTGAGGCTTCCTAACACAGCTTCACAAAACAGTAACTCTATGTTTGCTATGCTATCTCATCACGACACAAAATTTGGAATAACAATTTCACGTAAGCATACATGGTGGCATGCAAGTTCTTCAACAATAGCTCAACACATTGTGCGCATTCTTGATTGAATTACACACTCTCATCATGATGCACAGAGTTTCTGATCAGCTGACTGTTCATCAAAATGAAGCAGGATCTTTCAGGCCTGAAACAGGCAGTGACACTCCAGGAAAAGCAACGTAATTTCTGCGGACTGAGACCGATTCCTAATTTGGATGTGCTCAATGTCCCGAACTTGGTAATATTGCCAACCCATTAGATAGCAGAACATGCACACACGCTGCTACCTCTGCAGCTAAAATTTCCTGGGGGTTACTTTGGAGGTATCTCGCTGCAAATGCGTACCTGCCAACCTAGAGACTTCTGAAATCGGGAGATTCGCCGCGGGAGCGGAGTAGGGGGCAGAAAACAATTGTTTTGGACGATCGGTCCAATTGCCCTTATACCAAACACGCTTGTCACCAACGCGGTTCGTTTCTATTCGTGTGGCTACATTCTAAAGTGATAGGAAGTCGCTTCTTACTAACGACGCCGTTCCGTGCAAGAACAGCGGCGTCACGCGCACGTTTACTTTTTGCTGTATATTTACAGCGGTGTTTGTGCAATCAATGCGGTGAAGGTTTTCGTTCTCTACGGACACAGGCAAACGAACAACGGTATGACGCATGCGATGCGTTTCAGTGACATGATCGCATCAGCAGTAGAGCAACGTTGCTACATGAACATAGCGCGTGTAGACAATCGCTCCACCCAACACGTGTGTTGCATTCAACTTACAATTACAGCACAGTGTTGAAATTGAGGAGACACTTACCATGTTGCTCCGCATACTGTGTGGTCACCATCGCAGACATCGTGGACAATAGCTACTGCACGCTTGGCGTGATATCCATTTCACACAGGTGAATAGCGCTGAACAAGCAAACGAACGATGCGGCGATGCTGGTAAGCCACGTGGTAAACAGACAGCGGAAAAGACCACGCGCAAGGTATCCTGGGTAACGCAGCAGCTTCCGCCTTGCTCCAGCAGGGCGGGTTGTGTTCCGATGGCGGATTTGGAGGATTTGCTCTACGCCAGAGTCGAGTGCTCGCTCGCGGAGTCGGTCGGCTGCACCCACTCCGCCATTGGAATTCAACATTAGTGTGTTGATAACGATTGATGTATCGATTCAGCGGACAATATCGTCGTTCTAAAGCAGTGAAATAAATGTGTGTTGTTCTTTGGTTTGTTCCGACCGCATCTGCTGTGTACGTTCACTCTAAGAGCGTGGTGGTGGCGCTCGCCATTTTGACACCCCACACTGGCGCCCAACGTGGGGCTCATAGAGCATCAGATGACAGTTTTCGCGGTTCGGTAAAGCTTTTGTTAGAGCCATGGTAGAGTAGGCCTAGGGGGACTTCTCATTGCTAGCGTCGGCGGTGTGCTTTGTTAAAAGTGAGGAGATTAGTATTTGTGACGTGTTTTAACTTGTCGGCACTCGAGTTTATATATATATATTTTTTTTACTATGTTGTTGGTGGTTTTTTAAGAACGTTGTTCACTTTGGACGAGAGCCATGCAGTCTGCATCCTGGGGTGAGCAAGGCTTAGAGCACATGGTTTGTAGGGCAGGCTCGAAGCAAGTGAGTACGGAAGCCTTGTGGGTGGTCCGATTTTCTGTAAATAGCTTCTTCTATATCTTTGGACTCGGGGAGCAGGGCATCATTGCTGTCTGGTATTGCGGCTCGACGCCAGGGCGTCGTAACACCATTAGGGCGGTGGACGCTGATCGCTCGGTAAGCTGCTGTGAGCGGCGAGCGATAGGGCCACCTCACAGAATGGATGTCTCCTCGTGGCCGCCTCTTCTGCATCTATGCTGGGTGCTGAGTGGATGCCGGTTGTTTTCCAGCAACTCATTAGGCCTAAGGCTCTGCGCAGCCACCTGTCACATGTGGCACAACCAGGAAGATCGTAGCGTTGAGGTGTTGCACTTCGCTTTCCTCCCTTTTTTTTTATCTTGCGATGCACGAGTTAGCAAAAAGTGAGTTTTGTTTTATTTTGTTGGGGGTCTCGGCCGCCGCCGATGTATTAGCTAGCAATACTGACCATCATACCACGTGGGCGAAAAGCCCGAAGCTCCCTTCCCTAGGCCCTGCTCCATTCTTTCTGTTGAGTGTTTTGGAATGTAAGCAGCGGCAGTGTTGTAATCCACGGCTGGCTGTCTTCTGCACATCGTCAGCACTGCTGGCCAATATTGCGGTCGTGAGGTCGGGCGATGGAGATGCCTGGGACCTGCGCAGCTGCCTACAGTCTGGCGCCCTTGTGAGTGCTGGTCACAACTGAAAGACGTATAGGCACGAGTGACGAATCATTGCGCCGACGGCAACGTTGCTGTTGCGGGACCGGTACTGAGGTGAAGTCGAGTCAGACAGTGGATCAGTGTCGACAGGTGGCAGTGTCGTGGTGCACAGACATTTTCGTGTCATTCGTGCTTTTGCATATTAGATGAAAACTGCTCAATTTCTTTCTTTTCAAATGTATTTCTACATGGTACTAAGTAGTTCTGTCAGAAATTTCTTCTTGTTGCATTTTTATATATATATTTTTTATAGAGTCGGACAGTGCATCAGTGTCGACAGGCGGCAGTGTCGTGGTGCACAGACATTTTCGTGTCGTTCGTGCTTTTGCATATTAGATGAAAATTGCTCAATTTCTTTCTTTTCAAATGTATTTCTCTATGGTACTTAGTAGTTCTGTCAGAAATTTCTCCTTGTTGCATTTTTATATATATATTTTTTATATTGGGACTGCAAATTGGTGATGACTGCAATGTGTGAGTGGATTAGGGAACAAACAGAGGTTAAGGATATCATAGCTGAAATCAAGAAGAAGAAATGGACATGGGCCCAAGATGTAGCGCGTAGACAGAATAACCGCTGGTCGTTAAGAGTAACTAACTGGATTCCCAGAGAAGGCAAGCGAGTTAGGGGGAGACAGAAGGTTAGGTGGGCAGATGAGATTAAGAAGTCTGCGGGTATAAATTGGCAGCAGCAAGCACAGGACCGGGTTAACTGGCGGAACATGGGAGAGGCCTTTGTCCTGCAGATAACGTAGTCAGGCTGATGATGATGATGATGATGATGATGATGATGATGATGATGATGATGATGATGATGATGATGATGATGACGATGATGATGCAATGTGTTATTTTAAAACATATGTGTCGACATCTGTTATACTTGTTGAATTCGAATTTCGTGTCCCCTCATTCAAAAGCAGAATGCAATTTGTATCCTTTGTTCCACTTCACATGAGCAAATGTATGGGTGGAGGAACCTTAGTCAGGCAGAGGTAATCTGCAATTAGTCCCTTCAACCAAGGCATTGTTTTTGTCTGAATAAACAGTGAATGACTGAATGAATGAATGAATTATAAAGGGACATGCGTTGTGATTTTTTTGTTGGAGCTTGTGTAGCTGATTTCTTTGTTTTCGGAATATGGTTTGAATTAAGATTGGGAAAATGTAGGAGTGCTGACACCCACTGTAAAGATGCTTGCACTGCGTGGGGCACGTGTCTCACCCAAAAGCCGCAATTCGGGTTACAATCATTGGGCAGTACGTGGCTTTGTGTTCGCGTTGATCACCACTATCATCATGGTAGCGCCGGCAGTGACCCCTGGGGGAAGACAAGCCTTGGCGGCGGGCGAGCGTTGAGTGAGTCTCTTGGGTGCGAGGCGGTTGCCGCGAACAGTCGTCTCAAGCGTGGGTTCCTGGTGCGTAGCATCGCGGGCTGCGCGTCGGTGTCCCTCGTGGCGAGTCAAGCGTTGGCGTTGCAGCCTTGGGTGTGTTATTCTGTTTGTCATGTTTTTGTGTGTTTGTCATGTTATTGTGTTTGTCATGGAGTGTATGGTAATATTGTGTACGGATGTCTTAGCGTGTTGATAACAATTGATGCATCGATTCAGCGGACGATATCATCGTTTTAAAGCAGTGAAATAAATGTGTGTTGTTCTTTGGCTTGTTCCCATCGTCTGCCGTGTCCGTTCCCTCTAAGAGCTTGGTGGTGGCGCTCACTATTTCGAGACCCCACAAGTCTTTTTTTCCACAATGGCTGGCTGCTCAACATATTCGAAGGCTGAGGCAGCAAGTTGGCGTACTCACAGAATTGAGATCCCACTGCTCAAGGTGTGTGAAAAGCAAAGGAGGGAGGAGTGGAGGCGCATCGTTGCGCTCGAGAACCCATTCATCCCGGCAGATGTCGAGAGATAGCTTCAGAAAGGTCCTAAGTTTACTATTTCGCCCATCATTTTTGCCCATGAGCTTGTGGGATTAAACAGGGACGTGACCGCGAAGACCAACCAGGACTGGGACAGAGGCCTACTAGATGGTATGGACTGTTTATCAAAATGCGCACAGCAGACTTTTGGTAGACCTAAAGATAAAAGCTTAATGTCATTTCGTACTTCATAGACAACAAATTAAAATTAATGCTAACAGAAAAAGAAGGTTGCTTTGTGGTAATACCTGAGGGAACGTACAACAAGAAGGCTCTGGCTGCCATAAAAAAGAACTTCCACCCAGTTAAGAAGGCAGTGACTCGCATTAAGTCGAAGTTCATAAGGTTTTGCAAGAACACAGGGCTTACGGTGCTAGCCAGGAAAATAGAGAACAGCAAGGAGAGCAACTTGAATGTTTTTTTCACGGCCAAGACACACACACCGGAGATACTCTTTTGCACCATTGTTAGTGAAGG